AGTTTTATGGCAGACTGGAACCCTCCTCCTCTGGGCTGGTAGTGCTAGTATGGCAGCCTGGGAGGTTCCTTCTCTGTGCTGGGAGTGGTGCGATGGTGGCCCAGAAGCCTCCTCTACACGGGGAGCAGTGCTATGGTGGCCTGGAAGCTTCCTCCTCTGTGCTGGGAGTGGTGGTCCAGCAGTCTGGAAGCCTCCTCTGCACTGGAGCAGTGCTACAGCATACATATACTCCTTTATGAGTGGCATCAACCACCAGCCTCACCAGATGGCAAATCAGTGGGGCTGCCTGATTTATGAACTTCCAAAAGTATGAACTAATCAACCTTCTCTATTTATAATTTAGTTGCCTCAGGTATTTTGTTATAAAAACACAAAGAGGACTAATAAATGAGCTAAAAGTAAATGGACTTTAATAAACTTCTTCATCCATATTTCTTGGCAGTAAGGCATCCCCATTTCCCTAAAGTGAGAGCCCATCATCTATTTCTTCATTCACAGTAGAAAGGAGATTGATTAAAATAGTTTGTGATGAAAATATTTCATTTTTTTAAAGCCCAAGGACATCGGAAATATGGTCCAAATGTAAGAGTGTGATCAAAAAAAAAAAATCATTTGGAGGAAGTGGCTCCTTCCTGGGATATTTGATGTTTCTAATAATCACAGAAGTGGCTGGAAACATTAAGGGTAATTTTAATCTGCAATACTGACACAGCTTTTTAATATCTCTCTTGGACACAAATCTCCTTCTGAAATCCACATATATACTGGTAGTGAGACAGGGCTTCCTGTTCTTTACACCTTGGCATCTTTTTATCTATCTAATAAAACCTTTCTATAATTCATGTACTCTAGGCTCAATCACAAAGATTTTCCCCATTCTTTTTGTGGTTCTCTTACTTTTCTGAAGTCTTCTAATTTTATAAAAAAGAATATAATCAGATCTTTGCAGTTTTGTCATTTCATAAAGATGCAAGCCTGATCCCTTTACCAGGTCACTGACCCCCCTCCCCATGCCATTCACTTCCCACAAAAAGTTCTCCATCTTAGAACTGCTCGTAAACATTTTGGGCCAAGACCCACTCCTGCTTCATTTTATCTCTGGTTGCCTCCAGTACCAGTTACGTAGGAAAGATCAGAGGCCCATCTTCTCTCTGCACTGAAGGTTGATTTGCAGCCCTGGTTTGATTGCATTTCTGAAGCAATGCCATCTTTCACCTGAAACTTATATGAAAAACTAAGCCTCTTTCTATTCTTAAGATTTTGGTTATTTGCAGCCAAAAATATTCTTAAACAATGGGGGAGGTGGTATGAATGAGAAGCCAATTTTATTTCTTTGGTTAAAGAAATAAAAACGAGGTGGCATGACAATGATGGTGTGTAAAAGGAAGGGAGAATGTTGTGGAATATGGTTAGGCAGTTGATGGGTAAGAGACAAAATCGTAGGGGGAGGTCGGGACAATTCATAAGACAAGTGTTCTCAATATTGGCTACACATTTGAATCATGTGGGTAACTATTAAATCTTATGCATGCTTGGGTCTCACCCTTAAGATTCAAAGTCAATTGATTTTGATTTCATTTTGGAAGGATAGGACATCAGTAGTTTATGAAAGCTCCCCAGATATTTAAAATGTTCAGTGAAGAAGGAATATTATCACCTTATGAAGTATTAGAGGGCCAGTTTCCTGTCCATCTTCACTTCTGCCCATTCTCTTCTTTGAGCTGTAGCTTGACCCACACTGTCCTTCTTCACCTTCTTGTGGGGCTTCCCATGTCCTGCTCACCACTCAGGCTTTACTGAGATTGTCACTCTTTCAGACTTCAGAGGCCTCCCTTGATCTCCCCAGACCAATCTAAGTCATGTGCCCTGGATTATTCTTTCTTACAGCAATATTTGTTTTCTAACTAAATAGTCTGAAGCTCTATATTTCATTTTGTGTTTTTTGTTTTGTTATTGTGGCCTCAGAGGGGAAAGCTGGGGACAGAATTCTGAACAACATGTACACATTCAGCTGGATGTATCTGGAGGCTGGATGCACACCTGGCAGCTAACAACCCTATAAACGTTTGGAGAGGGAGGGTGGAGTGAGTACTGATGGGAAAGAAGCAAACTTTATGTAAAACAGATTTTGATAAAGCAGGAGATCTCTGGATTTTCCAAGAAAGGAAATCGTGTAGGAAGTGTGCACAGAAGTATGGCCCATTAACTTTGCCAAATTCACTGCACCTTTTGCAGACACTTCGAATTTTCTGAGCGTCCCCAGCTAATGCATGTAGTTGAAGACGGTAGTTTAAGAAAGCTTGTGGCATTTTGTTTTCTTTCTTCGTTAGTAAAGGGAGAATTTAAATGAGTTTAACCTTTGATGATCTGGAGATTGTAAAAACCAACCTACCAAAGTTCAGGCAGTGTCAGACTGTGGAGACACACTTTCCGAACAGCTCATCTTCCCAGACCTTTCTCTGTCAAATGTCAGAGCCCAAATGAGCTTGTTTGGAAGGCAAATTACATGTTGCAAGCAGTCATTTCCCGTAGCGGTGACTTCTGCTCCGAATAATTAAATAATGCAGCAAAAGAAATGCTGTGGCCTTCAAGTTTGAACATAAGGCTGTATATGTATAAAACTGTCCCCATAGTCCTGAACTCTGAGGGGGAGTTCAAGTCTTGCAGCAGATATCAACAATCATTCTCAAAGAATTAATCTTTATTTAAGGACCACAATCTATTTGATATAGGGGCTGAGTCATGAACACATATTTTAATGGGGAGGGAGGGAGAGGGAAAGAAATTAATTCTCTCTGGAAGGAAAAAGGATGTCAGGGCCAGGCATTTTGCTGAATAAAATAAATGAGTAGAAGTTGGTCTGTGGGATCAAAGTGAAAATTTTTCTAGAATGCTGTAGTCATTATCTCCATTCTCATCCTCACGTTCCTCTCTGGTACCTTCCTAAATAAAGCTCTCACATTTATGCCTCAGTTTAATATTTGTAAAATGTAAAAGCTGGCCTACTCTACTGAGCAAGACAGATCTTATTACTGCCATTATCTTGAGGCTCAGAGACATAAAATGGCATAGGAGAGAATCCAGCTAGTAAGTGATGAGCTTTGTCTAGACAATGGGCTCTGTGGCACTGCATGTCCCCTGATATTGCAGAGACACCGTAATAAGGGGAGGCAGTAAAGTTTGTGGTCTCAAATGACATCTGAATAATGGGCCCTGGACCAGTTGTGTGGGGCCCTCCATAAGTCAGTCTCTCTCTCTCTCTCTCTCTCTCTCTCTCTCCCTGTTTCATCTTCCTCTTCCTGTCCCTGTATATATACACACACTTTCAAATCCTGTTATTCCTCTTTTCCTGACACATCTTCCCGATTTAGGTGCTGAAATCTCTTAGCTGCATGGTTCCAACAATCTGCTCACAGCTCTCCAAGCCTCCATTCTGACTTCCATATCTGTCCCCCACCATATGGTAATATCGATCATTCTAGAGCATGGATCTGACCAAGATCGAATCATGCCACTGTATATCTCTCCATCACCGATAGTCAAGCCTCAGTCCCCAAGCCTACTCTACTCACAAAACCATTGAGTTGGGGGCTCTATCTGTTTCCAGCTCCTCTTCCAACTTGCCTCTTCCAACTCCTATCAACTACTGGGACCCTAGTTCTACTTCTCCAGGAAGTTCATATAAGTAAAATTCTTAGAATAGGTTCTGGTCCACGGCAAGTGCTATAGATGTGTCAGTGTGTGTTTTTCTATTACTCTTCCTGTTTCTGTAAGAGTCATCATCAGCACTCTTACTGATCTGATCTACTTGGATTTTCAAGCAAGCATTATATTCTCAACCTTTCTTCCCTCCTGTGAACTTAGTCTTCTAAGGAACCTAGTTCAGATTTCTCTCCCTCTGGAAACTTCCTTGCCTCATCCAGCTGAGCGGGGTGATTCTTACAGTCCTCTGTGCTATTCTCATTGTCACATTTACCTTATTGTGTTGTAGCTGTGTGATTTCTCCCCCACCTGAGGTCCAGTCCTTAACTTATCAGCAAGGACTTGTATATTTTTTCAATAACCACAGTAGTTGGCACAGTGCTTGGCACACAGTATGTTCTCAGTACACGTGTGTTGATTGATCAGTCACATTCCTGAGGCAAACTCAGCCCTGGGTGCCTAACTCTTTTGACATGTTGTGCTTTGAGCTCTTAAATACCATATAAGTGGCCTTCATTCTCTGTTTTGTGTTGTTGTTTATAAAACATTAACTATAGATCAGCTCGTTATTTATTACCCTCAATTTTTAGCCACTGTGTTTCATACTAGTTAGTAAGCACATGTAATAAATGTTCCAGCTCTGATGCAGAGGCTTCCTGGGGATGAGGGCAGGCAGGATGGATGGCTTGGGGAAGGATCATAAACAGAGTAGCACTGAAGAGTTCGCACTGAGGCATCCCAGTTGGCTGGGCTTTGGCAGTGACAGGGAGCCACATGGGCGTGGAGGCCATAACCAGCCTCTTTGGGACTACAACACACACAGAAACACAATATTTGTACATTCACTCATATGTGTAAGCACAAACCTACACACACTCACACTATATTTTAAGGTCTCTGCTTGCCTTCTGCTTTGCACCATCCATTTCATAAATACATTTCAAGCTTATTCTTATACTATTGATTTAAAAATCAGTAGTAAAAGAAACAGAGTATCTGCTCTTATGGAACTTGCCATTTTTCAGTGCAACAGACTAGAAATAAGTAGATAAGCTCATGGTGATGACAAAAAAGATGATGCAGATAAAAGAGGCACTTGCTCGTTGAGTGCTTCCTAGGCCTAGCCCTTGTACTAAGCACACTGTGCATATTCACTTGTTTACTCTTTTCTTTGACTGCATGAGGTTTATGTCCCTCTCCTGGTTTTGTAAATGAGAAAGTGGAGGATCAGCAACTTTGTGTGGTTTTATAAATTTTAGCTGTGGCTCCAAACCTTATTTCTTCTCTCCAAAACACAGATTTGGAGTGAACGTAAGTGAAGGCAAAGAAAAGAGAATACAGAAGAAAGTGATTAAACAAAGCATGAGGACATGTTTTCTTCTGGAAGTTTAGAAAGGTAGGAAATACTAGAAAATCAAAGCTGCCCTTGAATCTTGTGGGCAAAGGTCTATCTGGGGCATCTATGACAATGGCTACTGCTGGGCCAAACATGGGAGGAGGGATAACACTGAGATCCAAGAACCAGGCCATGGAGAGAGAAGGCCTGAGGCCAGGCATCTGGAGATGCCAGTGTTGCCATGACAACAGCAGTGGTACATGGGGAGGTGTGTACCAACATTGGAGATGGAGGTGGTTACTAGGGCTGGCAGAAGTTAACATCAAGGTCAAGAGCATTTCTTACAAAAGACATCTAACCTGGGTAGGTTTTCTTCTTACATAAAAATCATTAAAGTCCTAGATTTTCACAGCAGCAATTCTTTTTCATTTTTATTATTATTTTTTTAATTTAAGTTTTTTTTTCAGTGAGAGGAACTCATAGGGACCAGAAGTGTGTCCAGACTCTGACGAGGATTTAGTGGAAGAAAAACAACTAAAAACAAAAAAACCTAGGCACTTGGACTGCCTGCTTTGTGTTTATTTCTTCTTCCTATATGCAGGGAGGGAGGGGTTTGTTCTCTGTCCTGGCCCAGCACGTCTGGAGAGTCTGCCCAGTTCCCTGAGGCTTGGCCCACAGTTGCCTTCTCTCTCCAATTTCCTTTGGCTATGGCTCCCCTGATGATGTGATGCCAGCCTGCAGACCCCAGGTGCAAAGGTCACCAGAGAGCCTGCTGGCTGCACCTGCTGGGCACACCTGCTCAGGCTGTACCTGAGAGGCAGGCCATCTAGCTTTCTTTCCCAGTGGTGTTTTTTGCAGTGGGCCTTTGGCCAAAACAAATGCGCTGTAGGGGAACTGGCCTTCAGAGCTTTGGCCATTTGCCCTCTTTTTCTGCCCACCCTCCTTCTTGGCAGAGCAAGAAGTCCTTGTTGAGCAAAACTAGCTCTAGGCCAGTGCTGTTTTGCTGGGACAATATATTTTGAAATGATATATTTTTAAAAACTATATGATGGTCAAAAGCATAAGCACTAAACTGCAGACCACCATGCTGTGGAGGAGGGTCTATTCCTACATAACTAGAAAAATGAATAAAATTCATGTTTGTTTCAACTGTTAGAAAAGATTTTCATAATATATGTTCAATATGTAGTCTATACCATATAATTTTTATTTTTCTCACAATTAATTATACAACTAATTGGATTTGTGTGCAAGTATAACACAAAGTTATAATACAATAATCAGAACCACAAAACAACCAGCTTCTACTTAATGAGGGATATAGCATAGATATCATAGATATCTATCTGGGATCATATCATAGATACAGATGTATCATAGATATAGATACAGATGTATCATAGATACAGATGTCTATTTTTAAGTTCTCATTACAGATCCAGGGAAAGCATATCATTCTAATTTTGCAGATGGGAAAAGTGCAGGACCAGCAGGTTATATAATTCACCTTGCAATTGGTAAAAGACAAGCAAGAAATTTAAATGTAGATCATCTAACTTCTGAGCCTGCTCTTCTCCACTCTAACACCCAGCCACAGTGCTCCAGCTTTGGGATGCTTTGGAGTCACTTGGATGGTGTGATAACACACAGGTTGCTGAGTCACCACGGGGTTTCTGGTGCAGGGCCTCTAGAGTGGGACTCGAGAATTTGCATTTCCAACAAGTTCTCAGGTAGGTGATGCTATGGAGAGGGAGACCCTGCTTGGTGAAACACTGCCTTGCAGAGTGTCCAACCCCTTTCATGGTTATGCAATTGAAGCCTCATTCCATGTATGAGAAACCAATCATTAGAACCCCCATTTATAGAAGAGGGAAAATAAATTTGCCTAAAAGCATCTAGCTAGTAACTGATGGGACACAGATTCAGAGCAACCTATATTCAGAGTCCATGCAATTGTTAAATATTATGCTTAAATGATCTCCATCTTTTCCTTAATTATATTAAGTTTATTATATCTTTGCTTTTGCTACAGGTAGCAGCACTTCTGTTTCATCACTTCCCATTCACAACTCTAAGACAAGAAGGTCAAAATGCAATACTAAAAGCAATCATTTTGACAAGCACAACCTGGTGTATACAGATCATGGCCAAACTGCCCACTCCAACCCGGTGGCTGGCACCCACTGCCACTAGGTGATAACTGAAAATGCCAAATGGTCAGCAAATGCTCAGCAAATTCAGATTTTTAAAAATTTAAGAAAATCTTATGAAATATTATTAGGGGATTGCTTCCACTAGATTTGAGTCTTGATGTACTTGGGTCCCGAACATTAACCAGAATACCACTTTCTTCTTCTTCTGTTTTCATAAAGTTTATTGGTACATTTTAGGTATACAGTACAGTGTTATTCATCATTGGGAACGTGTACCTTTACATGATATATATTGATTCTTATTTTTCCCCAACCCCTGCCCTCCCTGCAACCCCTCCATCCCTCTCTATTTACAAAGACTTTGTTTCCATTTTTTCCTTTTCTCATATTTTTTCCTTTCCCTTCTTTCCTTTCCCCTACCTCTCCCAGTTCCCCTACCCCTTTAGACCTTTTCTTCTTATTTCATATTATCAATTATACATTTTGATCTTTATTTACACTTTTTGTTTCTGGGAAGAGGTTTATTAATACACGTTTACAGTACATAACTATTACATTCAATGTAGGGCATTGGTACCTGTACATAACACATTTCAATTGCCTTCTTTTTCCTCCCTCCCTCTATCCCCTTTTATTTTTCCAGCATCAGATTCATTTGTTTATCTTACAAGATCTTATAAAGTTAATTTATTTTATATATATATATAAAGACAGACTAACAGCCCAAAGAACATATGAAATATGTAAGATGATTTTACCAAGTCAAGGTACACTTTTAGATATATTGTCCATATTGGATTATAATACTTTTTTTCTCTCTTTGTTTTGGTTTTGTACATGTTTTGTTTTGTACATGTTAATGGAGTACACTATGACAGTTTGATACATGTACACGATATGTAGTGATGAAATCAGGGTAATTGGCATTTCTAACTCCTTACATGTTTATCATTTTTTTGTACAGGGCAACTTTAAACTTCTCTCTTTTAGTTCATTCTAAAACATATAGCTGGTTGTTATATAGTCACTCTCCCTCAGACCACACTCTTTATGTGAGTGATGCTCTAATTATGTCCACAAGGATAGCCCACACAGCTTGCACAAAGATCCAGTCTGGCATTTCTCCCCAGCTGCAGACAGCTCTCCTCCTGCACCAAACTCAGAGAAGGGAAAGAAATGCAAGGAGAGACATCATCAATTGCTAAATACTTACTCATACAATTGCTAGCAGTCAGGATGTCCAGGCTAGGTGGTTGAAGTGATTAGACAAAAGCATTTGTGTTTCAAAGACACAGAAACAGAGTTGTTTTGAAGTGTGTGGTTTACTTTTTGTTTTTATAGTAAGGCTGAGAAGAGGCAGCTTTATTTATTTATTTTTGTGATTTACTGTAGCCTTCTGTTTGGCTACAAGGGAGAATTTCCCTTTCTAATCTCTCAAGCTTGGATTACATAAGATCAAATGAGATCATGCTTGGTAAACTGTAAAGTGAAATGCCAGAAGGGAGGATTATTATGATGAAACACAGTGGAGCGGAATGGTCTATTTTCTAGCTTCAAAGACAGACAAATTAAAATTTAAACGAGAGTTATGCTAATAGCAGTATAATTTTGCAATGTACATTAATCTGAGTTTTCCTTTTTCTTTTTGTAAACTATGAAATGGAAGTTACCATCCTATTTCATAAATATAACTGTGGGGTTAAATAAAGGACTAAATATGGTCAAGAATGTATTACAATCAGATATCATTTTGGGGTAATACTGGCAATAGATATCTTTGAAAGCCAAATTGACAGAAAAAAAATCAGAAGTGTGATATACAGACCGAAACACTTAAAGATGTGTAAAAATTTATTGCACAATCCTTATTTTGCACTAAAATAATATGAATACATCATGAAAAAGAAAATTCATTTCTGACCAAAATCTGGCCTTGACAAAAATTATAAATTATAAAGTAATGAAAGAATCCAATAGTCTGAAACTATGGTTGTTAGACATCAGAATATTCAAAGTAGACCTTCTCAGTCACAAGAACAGCTTCTCAGTATCTAAAGGGCATTGTATTCTTCTCGTGATGGTACAGTGTACGAAACATGGCTAAAGTGAAGAGTGGAATTGTAAGTGAATTACAGCTATGGCTGCTTTCAAATGAATTGGACTACAATCTGATCTATAGAAAGCCAACAAATCTTTTAAGGGAGTTATAGCAACAATAGATCACCAATTCAGACTAAAAAGAATGAGCTGGCTCATGTTTCTAAGAGGTCCCTAAGCCTTCAATTTACTACATTATAGGCAAGGACCAGGCTATAAAATTTACTTAGTTGTATGAAAATGTTATTTGTCATGAAATGGTAAGCACATATGAGGGAGAGGAGTCAAGATGTCAGCAGGCAGAGACATGAACTGAAGAGAAGAATAAACAGAGGAGCCATTCCCAGGGATTAGATCTAGATGCTAACATATAACAGTACCAGTCTCCAAACTGGGGATGCTTGACAATATTTATTCAAAATGACAGTATAGAACTCTCATTTCTCAAGATTTTCTTTTGTACTTATCTGATCTTTATCTCACCTTCCTGCACTGTGTCAATGGGAACAAATATTGCCATTGTATGTCACAGGTTTTGGCTAAGGAAGTGTGATATACAGGAAGTTTTACTTGAGGCAACTCAAACACATCTGGACCTCATTTTAATAATAAAATCCTGCAATGTAAGTCTGATCCCATAATGACTTGGCTAGTGCCTTCCCCAAAAGCTTCAGGAGAAGGTAAATGGTGAAGCCAAAGTACTTCTGGGTGTATTCCATCTCTAATATGTATTACATTCTTTCTTCATTCTTGGCAGAGGGTTTAGCCCTCCAGTTTTTTGTTTACTCATTTTCAATACTTGCTTCTGTT